AATAAGTAAGAATACATAAACTAAGAACATAATAAAGATATACCAAATAGTTGATAATAATACAATTTACCTAACAATAGGAAACACTGTTATGATAAACTGCAGGATGAAAACCAATTGTTCAAAAGCACAATACATTTTTAAAACTGATTTTCATATTGCAAAAAACATGCTATGAGCTCATGGAAAAGTGCAGCATTTTTCATTAAGTAGCTGCATTTAAAACCCTTCTGTGGTTCAAAAACATTTTGACTCGAGCAATAAAATGATCAACATACTGAGTTTGAAGAGTTTGTCATTCCTTAAGTGCCTGGTGAATCCAATTTGTATCATACCCAAATTTACACTAAAGTGGCTGCAATTTTCACATGTTCACATGTGATTGACAGCAAAAACACACAAACTCAGATTGGAGACACAGAGAAAAGAGAGAAGGGTGTAAATTCAGGAGTGGCTCAGCTGGGTGGGAGGTCGACATACCTGCAGATCGAGGGTCAGAGTCAGAGTGAGTCGGACAAACTGGGAGACGGAGTCCTCTGCAGTGGATGGATACAGAACCAGACTCACCTGCCAGCCCCTGCAGCAGCACAAACAAGACACACAGGCTAAACGCTACAACTTTCAGACCATTTAATGCGTCATAACGACTGGAAAAACCAATATTATGTTTTCTGATCTTTATGACCTGGAAAATACCGTCATAAAATGATGTCCCTGTTCAGTCCTTTGCAAACAACAGCTGACATATTGAACCAATAAAGATTTCAAGTTTTCCTACGAATGAACTTTGACCTGATCTCCCACATTTTCCTGATATACTTAATGTTTCAGGTGATATTTATGGATGATTAATAACATTCTAGATTATTTTTAGCCTTTTCTTTTATAACAGTTTTTTCCATAAAAGGCATTATTTTCTGCCCAGATCCCAGCAGGACTGCTGCTTCCTCACCCGTCCTCTCTTCTGTCCACCTGCAGCTCCTCCAGGTAGATGGACTGCAGCACCTCGATCTCAGACTGAACCCTGTGAACACAAACAAACTTTCAGCTTGTTTACCGTTTTATTAACAGTAAAGCTAACCGGCTAGCTTCGCGTTAGCTGGAGGCTGCGGCATATTTCCAGGTATTCCCATGGAAACAACGACCAGTTTGGAGCTGGAAAATGTAAAACAGGGTCTACCTCTGTCATTTGTAATCTGTGAACAAATATTAGAAATATCGACGGCAAACTCACTCGGACTCAGCTGCCATCGTGATGTTTCTGATGCTAGCTGGAGATAACCGGAAGTAGCCTCAGACTTTCAGAATTATGGCTTCAAAACAAGAGCTAACATTACGTAATGATAACAGATATACTATCGTAGATGCTACACCGAATTAGCTTAAGATAACCCGACCACAGTAGACGTATCTACCGGAGCTTTGCTGGAATCAATCTACAACAAACCCCCCGCCCCTTATTGTCGTGTGGAACTAATGCGGCTGCGCGTCCGCCATATTGTGAGTGTCAAATTCGTTTTGAGAACCAAGAACAGAAATAAACAATGCACTATTTCTACTCCAATGAAAAAAATATAGGATTAAGATTTTGCATCAGACATATATACACATTAAACGTACTCTTGAGGTTGACATTTCTGCATAAGAAAATTTATTATTTTGTATTTGTCTGATGTAACTTTTCTTAATGTAATATTTTTATTTGCTAGGAAGCAGAAAATCATCATAATTAACAGAAATAGAGACTTGAAACATCAGTCTGTGTGGAATTAAATGATATGTTTTTTTTTTGTGTGTGTGTGTGTGTGTGTGTGAGAGAGAGAGAGAGAGAGAGAGAGATGGTGTGTGTAGTCAAGAAATAAGCAATCTACTTTTTCCTCAAAATACTGATTCTCTCACACCATTACAGTGTGCTGTAATACATTTGCTTGCGAAATAAAATTTACTATAATCAAAATGACAATTTAACATTAAGAGATTGAAGAAAAATGAACAGTTTTATTAATCTTTTAAAACCTTACTTCGCAGCTGTTGCATTTTAGTGATAAAGGTGTGTAAATACAGCTCTTGGACATTGTGTTTATGTACTTAACATCAAATTTAATCTCAAGGCAGTTTGCTGACAGGTCAAGTAGAATCCATATTATCCTGAATAAATTTAGTCCAGATTAATATAATCCATTCATTTCAATAATATTGTCAAATTTATAAAATATATGTTTGGTAATTAAATATCTATTACTTTGAGTCTCTGACTTTGCATCTATCTTTCCTACTGAGCAAGCACAGGGCAATGGTGGAAAGGAACAACCATTTTGAATTGAAAATATCTCCAGCAGAATCAGAGAACACATCTGTGATAAGACTGAAAAAATATCCCATACAAGCCTCGACCTATGCTAAAGGCTAACATGACGCAGAGCTAATGGCTCCAGTTAGCGTTCTTGTAATGGCTAGTTGATTCTGAGCTGATTCTGACAGAATCACAGGAAGGTGGAAGCTGTTTTCCTCCTCCAGTAAAAACTGCCTACTCTCTTACAAACATTTCTGGTTACATAAAATCTGGAGCTCCAGACTGGAAGGGTGAGGAGATATTCAGCGCGCTGCAGACACAGGGGAACAGGAGACGGGAGGCAGCGGCATTTAAAACAGCGGATGCCGAGTGGGTGAAGATTGGCATTATGAGCGCGTTTGTGTTGCCTTCACTGCTGGCTGTGTAGGCGGACTCTCCATAGAAACCAGAGCTGGCTGCAACACCGATCAGTATGGAGTGTTGAGAGACGATTGCCCTCAAAGCTGGTTCCTCTTTTCTTTTCTTGTTTTTTCAAATGAAGCTCCAACTTTATTCTTTTATTAGCTAGTGTCTTTCTTCTCCCCCTCATATTATCTGCATCTCCCTCCTGAGACATGTATTTCTGTGCAAAAGGGGGACTTAAGAGGAAAGGCTTTCGCACAAATTTCTTTTTCATTCATTTGTCCTTAAAACATTTTCTGCTGTTTAGACTTTTTGGTGCTTTTCAGCTTGCAGAATCTAAATCTGGTGTCAGCTCTGGGAGGAAGTGGAGAAGAAAAGCAGCCTGGGAGCTGCACTTAATTTCACTCACTTCTGTCTGCCTGATGTCTTTAAAAGACAGAATCTCCTTCAGGTTTACTCCTACGATTCAGTCTGTGATCAAAAGGACAAAACACGCAGAAATATGCAATATGACAAATCAAACTGGAATGATTAATCAAAGTAACCGTGATTAATCAAGTATTGAAATATTTGTCAACTAATTTAGTAATCATTTAATCATTAACTGGAATATACAGACTCAAAAAAGGAAAGAACAATACACCAAAAACATTTAAGCCAAAACTGCACAAAAATATATACATTTTGCATTTAAGATAAATGAAACCTTTCTCTGTAAATGTGTTCTACACAGAACTTCTCTTTTAATCTATTTGCATAAAAATATGTCTTGTTTTAGTCTGATTAATCAGTGGAATTATTGATAGATTAATTGAAAACTAGTTGCAGCCCTAACTCTGAGAAACGGAAACTTAAGATTGTCAACTTTTGTTTTTGCATTCTTCTTCTTTCATCATCTGTATAAACATGATAATTAATATTAAAGTGCAGAGCTATTGCTGACAATAGTTCCACTTTCTTTTTAGGAGGCACTAGAGAGACCAGAAAAGTTTGATGGAAAACGAGAAAAATGCAAGACTAAAAAAAAAAAATAATTAATTTTTTTTAAAATAAAAAGCTAAGTTTTTAAATAGTTACAATAAATTATTAACACTAGTTAAAATAAGTATATCTTTAGCTTGGTTGCTAAATATTTAGTTTGGAAAATAAATATTTAGTTTTATGCAAAATAAATAGAAAACAAAATTTGAGCTGGAAACTTATATTTTAGTTAGTAAAATAAATATTAAATTTTGACATAAATATTTAGTTGGAAACTATATATTTAGCTTTCAAATTCAATATTTAGTTTAAAACTTTCACATAAACCTAAGGCTAACTTGGTGAAAATATGACTTTTAACACTTAACACCCTCATTTCTAAAGGCTAAATAAAGCAAATTATTGCTGTTACTTTTTTACTGTGTAACCTTTCAAATAACACCCCATTCTTCTTTTTCTGATTTCACTGCACAGCAAAACATCAGATCAATACATTCATCCATCTATTGGTTTTACTGATCATTAATTAATAAGATAAACTTTTGCTTTTGGTTTTAATCTGAATCACACACTTTTTTCAGAGCTTCCCAACAACCTGAGGGTTTCTGTTGGTGTAGTGTTTACTCTTGACCACATGGTGGCAGCACAGAGCAGCACATTTAGCTTCCACCGACAGAATAAAGTCTTACTCGTGGACTAGATTAGACTGTTGCAACTCCAGCAGAGGTGCCACCTCTGCAAAAGCTGTCCCGGCCTCTGATCTGCACCCAAACATCCGAGAGCGGAGGCGGGAACCGTTGGAAGAGAGGCAGGGAGCGGAAGATGTAGGCGGTGGAGAGGAAAAGATGTTTGGCTCCAGGAGGCTGTGTGGGTGTTTGTTGCTCTCGACGGATTGCAGGATGATCCGAGCTGCTGGTGGAGCGTTTCCACACCTGGCCTACAGCAGATCCCAAACATCCAGTCCTCCATCTGTCTGTTTAAAAGCCTCTCTAGCTGCAAATGAATGCTGAGAGCACTCAGACGCCCGCTGATCTCTACATGTTAATGGGATTCAGAAACAACTGAGCTATAAAATATTAGCAGCTTTTCATCTGTCTGCCTCAAGAAAACTTTATAGAACAACTCAAAGGATAACTGAGATGAGAAAGGAACATTTACACGACATTTTAGACCTACAGTGTTCTGCAATGGAGGATCAAAACTGATATACTTAAAAATAAAAGCTGAAATAGATTTATTTTGTTTTCTCTTTACCTCGGTGGGTTAGCGTCACACTATTTGGCTTCAATAAAGATGGCGAGGGGCTTATCAGTGAGCTGAAACTTTGCAACTTCACTAGAAAATTATGCTATAACTCCTGACTTTATTAATTATACTGTTTCTAAAGCTTCTTAGATGTTCTTTATTCTCCAGTGGATGAGTTGGGATATCTGTCCTCTTGAACCAAGTGTCAGAGGGTCAGGCTACGTCTGCGGTTCATGAAGAGGTTTCAGAAACATCACATGAGATGAGAGGCACCTCAGAGGGAGAGCAGTGAGTTTATCTGTCCAGTCAGGCAGAGAGAGAGACAGAGAGCTTCACAAACTCTCCGTCAGATCATCTGGCCTCTTCACCATATGTTGGTGTCCGCCATGTCAAAACAAATGGTTCAACAGTCATTTCACCCATTCAGTCCTGCTATAAATGACCTGGCCTTTACTAAGTACTGACAAGTCAAGTTTCTTAGTATAGAAGACTGTTCAAAGTGCTTTACATCACTCAGTTAACCAATCATGAAACAAGTTATAACAACACATTTTGTCAGAAATCATCACCAATTAAATACTGATCACTTACTACTAATCAAAAGCAACTATAAGCTTGGGGGGGAGGGGCTTAGTGTTTTTTTTAAGAACTCAGTGTTTTTGGCTGTTTTGCAATTTTATGGGAGTTTGTTACAGAAAACCTCTCAACATGGAGAAGCTGAATGTTGCTTCTCCATGTTTGGTTCTGCTTCTGTGGATGAAGATGTGTATTTGCGTGATGATGACAGAACCAGAAGACCAACTTTGTAACTGTCTTTATTTGACTCTGAAGTTTCAGGTCTGAGCCAAGACCTGAACCTCGCAACTTCTACCTGTAATAGCTGAAGTTTATGAGCTTCTTGATAGCAATTTCTGCTGCTAGCATGTTTGTTCTGGTTGTATTTACCCAGAATACCCTGCACTGTAGTCCACTTCGTCCTTTTGGTGTGGCTGCTGGTCCGCTTGATGTTCAGATATGACTTTAAACCGCACCAGAGTTCACTTCAACCGAATCAAGACCGAGTTTGCTTTTTGATTAAACATGGCTGATGTGAATCCAGTCTAAGAATAAGAAGCTGAGAAGATAAATTCAACCACGTTAAGTAGAGAAAAGGTTTAGTGGTTGATTGGTGTAAAATCATTCCTTAGTGATTCCAATAAATTATCCAAAATTAATGATATTTAGAAAACAGATGAGACAACTATGTTCTATAGGAACATTGTTGAGTTGTTTGGATGGTTGATCTAGATGATATTCATCATCTCTGAGGCTTAAAACACTCATTATAGAAACCAACACTGATTGCTCTTCAGTTATTATAGCAGAACCGCAGTTTTAAATGCCTCTTGATGTTTTAAAAGAATTATGTAAAATGTTTCTGAAGTCCTTAAATCATTCAGAGTTCTGCTGCTTGTTCTGTTTTAATGACATTCCTCTCTAAGTGACTCAGAAAAGCTCTTCATGATAATTCACCGAGGTGATGTGAGAGGCA